GAGGGAAGCAAAGCTGAGATGGTATGATGTGTAATAAAAAAAGAGGAAGGAGAGCCAGTAATAGACATTAATGAAGAGATCAGAAGATGTGGAGTGGTTGACATTGCAGAGAAGACGAGGGAAGCAAAGCTGAGATGGTATGATGTGTAATAAAAAAAGAGGAAGGAGAGCCAGTAATAGACATTAATGAAGAGATCAGAAGATGTGGGGTGGTTGACATTGCAGAGAAGACGAGGGAAGCAAAGCTGAGATGGTATGATGTGTAATAAAAAAAGAGGAAGGAGAGCCAGTAAGAGACATTAATGAAGAGATCAGAAGATGTGGGGTGGTTGACATTGCAGAGAAGATGAGGGAAGTACAAAGGTTGAGATGGTATGGGCGTAAAAAAAATGGATCAAGAAAAGCCAGTCATCTGACACATTATGGAGATAAAAATGGAAACAGTGGACAAAGGAGACCATGGGCTGTGTAAGGAAGATCTACTCATTTAAGGAACTGACGGTGGATATGACAAGGAACAGAAAAGCATGGATCGAGCGAGGACAAAAATCCGAGCAGCCTGGGAGAAGAGCTACATGTACGTATACCTGTGATCCAAAAGCATTAGACATGAGATATTCTTTCAGATATATAATGGCATTCTTGCGGACATTGCTTGACATATCCGTGAGACGACCAATCACAAGCCCGAGAACATGTTGTTGTCTTGCTAAAGGAATTGCCTAAATCGGACGAGAAGATAGCGTAGTGTTTCAACTGTATACCAGGGGAATTTGACAGTATATTGATTGAAATATGTTTGAACGACTGCACAACAATCAACAAAATTAATGTACTTTGTATTTGAAAAGGAACATTTACAAATATTAATAAGTAATCGAGCTTTTGTGGGCAGCATTTTTAATGCATACACATTTACATAAATTTTTACATTCCACATTATATAATTACATTAACAAACTTCACATTTCTACGAAGTTATTTTATTGCAAATATATTTTAGTTAAAGGAAGTTTAGTTTAAGGTCAGGTGCAACATGGTACGACGAAGCTGTGCAGAAATTCTGTAGCGGAATTGTGGCATTAGTCAAAAAGACAACATATACCAACATATAGAGACACTTGAAGCGAATCTAACCTTCTCGCGGCAGATATTTTGCCATATCTGTAAAACTTTGCTGCGAACGTAAGCGTGGACATCATGAATATGATTCTAAACGAAAATAAGTTCACAATAAAAACAATAACTCTTTCTCCCAAACGAAAGACAATCATGATGACAAGTAAAACCATTTAGGACTGTGCTAGATATAGAGCTAGTACCATTGTCAATTGATACTAATTACAGCAATGCCAGGGGGTTAGAATTAAATGTAGCTCACCTCGAGGTGATCCAAAATTTGATCTCTTGTATTCTTCATGTTTTCAGTGAGATCATCTTGACTTAAACGTAGTACGAGGAGCTTACCCATCACTCCCAGAACACCGTTACGCATGGAGTAGGGCTGAAATATACAGAACATTTTCTGAGTTGTATTATGAAGCCAAGTTAGCGTAGTCCACAGTAAGTTAGTAACAGTAACGAGAAGAGTTTCGACAAAATTCTGGACCAAAATTTTATGATCATCACAGGACTTTTAGGAGGAGAAATTCAGAACTGACAGAGCAATATTCAATAGTTTGTCTAGCTTAGGTTTCTTCCCAAGGAAATATTAGACCCAATACGAATGGGC